GGACGCGTCCATCACTAACCAGAGCCATGGCAGAGGTTGGGAGAATGGGACCTTGGCGCAGACCACCTCCTCCCGGAGCCAACAGTTGAGGGAGGTTAGGACATCTGATGGAACTGTCACCACCATGTCCAGCAGATGGAAGACCGGATTGTGCAACCAAGCTAGCCGGAGCTGTAGAGGGTGAAAACAGAGCCTGGCATACTGCACCATATACGTGCATGCTGCCATGAACCCAAGGAGCCTCATGCAGTTCCTGGCTGTGGTAATGGGAGAGGCCTGCAACAGTTGAGGGAGGTTAGGACATCTGATGGAACTGTCACCACCATGTCCAGCAGATGGAAGACCGGATTGTGCAACCAAGCTAGCCGGAGCTGTAGAGGGTGAAAACAGAGCCTGGCATACTGCACCATATACGTGCATGCTGCCATGAACCCAAGGAGCCTCATGCAGTTCCTGGCTGTGGTAATGGGAGAGGCCTGCAGGTACAGAACCTGGGCGGGAGAGGGTCCCCGAACAGCCAGTTGTCCAGGCAGGGGTAGACCTGAACTCTGTGCTTTCAGAGGAAAGCAACTACCACCATCATGCATTTGGTAAAAACCTGGGGGTGTGTAGAGACCAAGAGTGAGCTCAGTAAATTGGTAATGGCCCTGGTCCACCATGAAACAGAGGGAACGCCCGTGAACCAGGGCAATGGATATATGAAAGTAAGCATCTTTTAAACTGAGGGCAGTATATCAGTCTCCCAGATTGAGGGAAGGGATGATGGATGCCCTCACCACCATTTTGAACCTCATCTTGGCGATAAAAGTATTGAGATCCCTGAGGTCCAGAATGGGGCGAAAGCCTCCTTTGGCTTCGAGAACCAAGAAATAAATCCCTTGCCCCTGAACTCTGTATGAACTACTTCCACCACTCCTAGGTCGGTGTAAGGGATGCTCATGACAGGGGTCCCTGAAGAGGGAAGGGGGGGCTGGGAAAGGAACAGGGTAGAGTATCCGTTTTCCACTGTGTCCAGGACTCAGTGGTCTGTTTTTAAGGTCAACCAGGCACAGTGGAAAGCAGACAAGCGATTCAGGAAAGGGAGGACTGAAGTAGAGGCTGGAACACCCCTGGTGCAGCCCCTGGGATTTAGCAGGGGGCCCTGCCCCCTGGTCAGATGAGGAACAGGAGCAACATCTGTCATTCCTTTTCCCAGAGTTCCTGCCCTGACACCTGGTGAACTTGGGCCGGGGTCCCTGCTGGGGAGAGCATGATGGTCCCCTGGGGTTGAAGGAATGCCTCTTCAGGGGCAGGGGTATAGGTTCTGAGGGACTTAAGGGTGGCCCTCGAGTCCTTCGGACCATGCAGACAGTTGTCGGTCTGCTCTGAGAAGAGCCCTGCCCCCTCAAAGGGAAGGTCCTGGATGGTCATCTGTAGTTTAGGGGGCACACCAGAGACCTGAAGTCAGGAGCGGTGGCGTAGGACCAGCCCCATAGCCAGGGTGCAAGCTGCTGCATCTGCTGAGTTGAGGGCTGCCTGCAAACCCTGCCCTCCTCCAACAGGGCCTTGACCTCTTGCCTAGAGTCTTGTGGCACAAGGTCCCTAAATTTGTCCACGGCTGACCAGGTCATAGTGGCTCAGGAGTAAGGATGTTAAATATCGAGTAATTTACTAGTTGAGTAGTCGATGGAATTTCCATCGACTACTCAACTAGTTGATAGGCACTTCTGCATTCCTCCTTAGAAATATACAAGAGCCCCCACTCGGGTTCTTGTACATTTCAAAGGAGGAATGCAGAACTCTGCATGCAACCTGGGGCCAGTAGGAAGTCACACTGACTCTGGGCTGCACATGGGCGTGCCAGCTTTGAAATGTACAAGAGTCCCCAGTGGGGGCTCGTGCATTTCAAAGGGGCAGTGCAGCATGGAGCCTGGGGTCAGCTCCGCAGCGCTGCCCCTTGGAAACGCCACCAGAGCATTTCAAAGCGTCAGCGCTACACTGAGCCCGGGTATGGGCTCTGTGCAGCGCTGCTACTTTGAAGTACCCCCTCCCCCGCTCCTTTGCTGCCTCTGATAGACATCAAGGGGGGGAATCGACTAGTCAACTCGACTACCCGATAAGCATTTGCTTAGTGGATAGTCGACTAGTCCTTAACATCCTTACTCAGGAACACCTGCTGGTTGGCAATCCTGAACTGCAACCCATCACAGGCATAATCCATTCAGCCCAAGTAGTCCATTTTCTTTGACTCTCTGTTCTTTGGCATGGGGTCTGGCTGTCCGTGACACTCCCTATGATTCACTGCCTGGATAACCAGAGACAGACAGCCTCAGACACTTGGCACAGGGCTTGAAGTCTTGGAACCTGGGCATGCTCTGGTTTTTATTTAGTTACAATAAAAACTAGCACTAACAACTACTAACTTGTTATATTGGCTAATATATACTCCAGCCCCCCCCCCC